AAATTCGGAATTTTCAAAATGCTAAGGCTCTGCCAATTTTCAGTTTAAGAAAAAACCAGCCGATAAGTTTTGAAGCTCAAGTCATGAACAATAAAACTTATCGGTTAAATTTTTTAAAATGATATAATTTTTTTTTGTTTTAGTATTTTGTAGTTGACCAATTGTTACTATAAGCAATTAATGATTATAGATGATCTGCACCGTATAATTGGAATAGGTCTAGAGTTTAGATTTGAATTTACCAAAAGTAAGTTTTTTTTATATTCTTCATACACATTTTACGTGTTATTTCAGTTGGCAAATAAATAAATGGTTCCAGATCATCTCTAAGCTTCATTGGAGATGGAAGACCATATATTTTTGCATATTGCAAGACAAATTCCTTAAAGGTATTTGCTACTTCAGCATTAATTAATGAGCGTGATTTGATTTTAGGAATTCTTTTTGTATTGCCATGAATACGACTTTCCAGACCATTTGTTTTAAAATGTGCTTGCAATGTATCTAAGAGTTTTCTACTAATATTATTTAGTTTCAAAAACACTTTTTGACAAATAGGTATTGATGAATTATATTTATAATTATAATGTGATTTAGTTGAATTTTCATTTACTAACTCAAATGTCATTAATTGTGTTTTAATACAAAGATCCTTCATATCTTTTTCTAATCCTTTCAATTCCATGTATCTTTCAAAAAAATTTTTAAACCCAATTTTTTCAAAACAAATTTCATTTTCATTTTGACATCTACAGTTTGATCTGTTTCCAAAAAATAATTTTAGTTCATGAACATTTTTCTGTACCAAAGTATTTGATTCATATTCCTCTAATCCTAATTCAGCTAAATTGTATTGTATCAAATTACTTTCTTCAAATGATTCATTTTCATTTTCAGATGCTTCAATAATTTCTTCCATTAAATCAGACATTTTAAATTATAAAATATTAATTTTTGCAAAATTATTTTATGAATAATTTGTATGTAAAATTACTTGTAAATTGTATTTGTGCACCGAAAATTATATACATGAATTACAGTGTGTAACAAAAAAAACCGGATATTTTTTTATGCAATTTAAACGCGTCTCATGCGTTTGTTTTCTGTCCAATTTGAGAGATATAAAATGGAAAATAAACATGATAATCAGGAGTAAATTTGAGCGTTGTTTACAACCCTGAACCTTAGTGTACTTTTTGCTTTATGTACAAACACAATGCCTGCTTCTAAACAAGAAACACAACGTCAATGCATATTACAATTGTGGAATGAAGGCATTCACAATGGCCAAGAAATTCATTGCCGAACAAACATCCCATTGTCTACTATTTATGATAACATTAAAAAAAATAGAAGAAAAAGGGACGGTGGAGCACATATGAGGAAATGGTCGGCCCAGGAAAATAACTGGGAATACCTCCAAGATGATTGGACAATCAATACGGAGAAATGACTCAATTTCCACACGGACCTTAGCTCGAAAAGTGTCGAATACAGGTGTTGACGTGTCACATATGACAATTTCGAGGCACCTGACCACTTATGGGTACTCGAAAGCATTGCCTAAACAAACACCTATGTTAACCGAAGCCCATAAGCAAAGGCGTGTTGAGTGGGCACGTCAGCACCTTAATGACAATTGGAGGAAGACATTATTTTCTGATGAAACCGCGTTTCAACTTTACCGAAACACCATCGAACGTTGGTACAAAGGTGAGCGGCCAATTCGTCCCATGCCCAAAGATCACACAAAAGTTTTTGCATGGGGCGGATTTTGCATCGTCGGAAAAACAAGTTTATTTTGCTTCAGGAGGATAATGGATGCCAAATTTTATGTAGAAATCCTCTAGAAACATATGCCGGAAGTAAATAGGATGCTTGGAGGTAGATGGAGACTCCAGCAAGACAATGATCCAAAACACACGAGTCGTCTTGCTACGGAGTTTCTGAAAGAAAACATTCTGGCGGTTATGGACTGGCCATCAAATAGTCCCAATTTAAATCCAATTGAAAACCTTTGTGGAATTGTTAAGAATAATGTAGAGAGGTGTATGCCAAAAAATCTTGGTGAACTAGAGAGATTTATGATGGAGGAGTGGAATAGAACTCCGGAAAGCATGTTAATTAATTTAATAGAATCAATGAGACGACGTTGTGAGCTCATTATTGAGAGAAATGGAGAACGGATTTCTTATTAATTATTATCAATAAATTTGGTTGTTTTTATCTTACAAATGACCCATTTTTTATAAAAATTGACTGACTCATTGAGGAGCAATGGCAAAATAAAAATATCCAGTTTTTTTTGTTACACACTGTATATATGCATTTAAAATTGTTCACAATTTAAAGAAAATATACAAAACAATTTATTAACAAAGATTAACAAAGATTATTTTTTGTGTTTACAAATAATATTGTGCATTAATACATGAATACATAAATTAAAATTTATTTATTAAAAATTCCATTTTTTTCTCTTCTAACATTTATTAATCATCTTTGTATGTGTTCTTTACTTATTCATCTTTGTATAGTTGTCTTTGTCCATAATTAATACGTAACACAAAAATAATAATCCAGGGGTACTTTCGTGTAACAAAATTTAATCGATTGTTTACTCAAAATACAGTCAACCCCCTCTAAGTGCACCCCCCTCGGGAATGAGTGATAGCGTGCACTTAGAGGGGGTGTGCACTT